ATGAGACACTCGAAAAAATAAACATTGCTGGGCGTCCCGCCAGTGTGACGCTGTATCGGGGCTCGCACTCTGATGCAGCAGCAAACCGCGGCCGGCACGTGGGCAGAGTCCGGGCCAGCCCCATGCACCGATTTTGGAGCTGCCCGCAATCTTTTATTTTCAGCTTCAAAATATACTGGTGGTAATGGGTTAAGAGTGTAATATGGATATTATGAAGGGCAGTGAATCAGTTATAGAACAAAGAAAACTTGTTGAATTCTTACTGTGCTCTCCTTTTTGAATGATCTTTTGTGATGACAATAAAGGCCTGATTTATTATTGTATATTTTTCTTGGATAGTAAGCTGTTGTAGATGTTTGATGCACTAGACTAATCATCAGAAGCAGTTTAAAAAAAGTATATGAATGGTAAAACTATAATGCTATATGTGGCGGTAAAATGTATGTAATGTGAAGTAACTTTAGCATTGTTGCTAAAGCTTTTCAGTCAGGAAGGCTTATAATACTTCAAAGACTTGGAAAGGAAAAAGATTATTATTATTGTTTATGTACCATTAATAATTTTTTTGTCTTATTTTTATTGCAAATTTAAAATTACTTCTTTGTGTGGCAATTTGCACTTTGCAAAGTTAATCTCCTCTCTTTTTTATTTTTTTTAAATTTTACGTTTTCTCGCTTTTTGTTAATAGATGGATCAGATATTGTCAAACATCCGTGATGAGAACCTTCGTCTTTGCTTGTCATTTGGAATTGGTCTTCACCATGCGGGCCTGATAGAGAGAGACAGAAAAGTTGTTGAGGAGTTGTTCGTCAACCAGAAAATCCAGTCATTCACTCACTCACTCTCACTCTCTCTCACTCACTCACTCACTCACTCACTCACTCACACTCACTCACTCACTCACTCACTCACTCACTCACTCACTCACTCACTCACTCACTCACTCACTCACTCACTCTCACTTCGCACTCGGCACTCACCACTCACTCACGTCACTCACTCACCACTCACTCACTCACTCACTCACTCACTCGTCACTCACTCACTCTCATCTCGCTCCCTCCCTCCTCTCTCTCTCTCTCTCTCTCTCTCTCTCTCTCTCTTCCCTCTCTCTCTCTCTCTCTCTCACTCTCTCTCTCTCTCTCCTCTCTCTCTCTCTCTCTCTCTCTCTCTCTCTCTCTCTCTCTCTCTCTCTCTCTCTCTCTCTCTCTCTCTCTCTCTCTCTCTCTCTTCTCTCTCTCTTCTCTCTCTCCCTCTCTCCTCCTCTCTCTCTCTCTCTCTCTCTCTCTCTTCTCTCTCTCTCTCTCTCTCTCTCTTCTCTCTCTCTCTCTCTCTCTCTCTCTCTCTCTCTCTCTCTCTCTCTCTCTCTCTCTCTCTCCCTCCCTCTCTCTCTCTCTCTCTCTCTCTCTCTCTCTCTTCTCTCTCCCTCTCTCTCTCTCTCTCTCTCTCTCCCTCTCTCTCTCTCCTCTCTCTCTCTCTCTCTCTCTCTCTCCATTCTCTCTTTCTCTCCCATTCTCTTTCTTTCTTTCTTTCTTTTTTCTGCATAGTTTACCATTATTACTGTACAATTTGATGTATATGGACTACAAACATAATAGCATGGCTAACCACTGTAAGTGTATTCATATATATGTTTATGGCAATGGATAGATAGTGTGTGATTGCACATGCAAGTACTGATGAAACTGATGAACTCCTTTATTTCCAGATCCTCATTGCAACATCCACCCTTGCCTGGGGAGTGAACTTCCCAGCCCATCTTGTTGTGGTCAAGGGGACTGAATACTATGATGGGAAGACCAAGAGATATGTAGACTTCCCAATTACAGGTATGTGTGGCTTTATAAATGAGTTTGTGTTTTTATGGTATTGATAAAGTTACAGTCATTTACAATTTTTTCTTTAAATATGTCTATTTTATCAAATTTGTATTACTATTGTAACTGTAGGAACTATACATGACATTATAAGTATTGTACGCATGGGAAAGAGAGCTACCAACTGGCAAAAAGGAAAGTGTAGAGAGTTCATAAGCCAGGTTTGCTGGTCAGTAAGATTTTCCTGGTATTTAGGATGAATTCAGAGATAGTAAAACAGTATTCTTGTTGTTGGGTCAGTTCGTAAAGTTGCATAGAGCCGTTACAAATAAAACTATAATTTGTGTAATTTTTCCCCCCTTTCCCTTTTCGGTAGATGTGTTGCAAATGATGGGGCGAGCAGGAAGACCTCAGTTTGATACTCAGGGTGTTGCTGTCATTCTTGTTCATGACCAGAAGAAGCATTTTTATAAGAAGTTCCTCTATGAACCATTTCCTGTGGAGTCCAGGTAAGGTAGCATTATACAGATCCCATCAGCAAGTATATATATAAAATTTCATGCCATGCAGAAGGTACCCTCTCTTTATTAGGAATTGCATAGGCATATAATTATATCTTGTATTATCACACATGGAAATAATTTTATACATGTAAATTGGTTGTCATGAAATATTATTTTACATATAGATATTAGATTATCAAGTAAATTATTTATTACAGTTTGATGGGTGTCCTGCCTGATCACATGAATGCTGAGATTGTTGCTGGCACCATTTCCACAAAGCAAGAAGCCTTAGATTACTTAACTTGGACTTATTTCTTTAGGAGGCTAGTCCAGGTAATCAAAAACAGAGTAGGAATATAATGTTCAAACTAAAAGTTTAATTGCTGAAATCAGCTGAAGGGGGTAATTTTGTCACCATTTTTACAATGTTTTAGGGGTTGAAATATATGTAGGATTTAGATATCCAATTAGAATTTTATAGTAATTATGATGCTAAAATAATAAATGGTATTTATATTTCTTCCAGAATCCATCCTACTATGGACTAGAACTGGATGATGAGGACAGAGCAAATAATGCCATTAACACCTTTCTCTCTCAAACTATAGACAGGGCATTGACTTGTCTAGAAAATGCATACTGCATTGAAATTGGAGAGGTGGGTCTATTTTGATAAATGTCATGGAAAAAGTACAATAATATTCTCATTGATGATGTTCAGAAAGAAATCTCACATGTTTGCCTGTTGCTTTAAAGCAGTAGACAAAAGGTACATGGTGGCATCAAGGAAGGGTGAGCAATATTATTATATTTATTTATATATGACTATTCATTCATATATTTATTTATTTAAAAGGGAGAAACTAGACTTTATTAATTTAAAAAAATGGTTCAGAAATTCAATACCAGTGTCAGGTTTATGGTGTTTTAACCCACTAACGACGGGTGTCCCACATACGAGACACCCGAAAAAATAAACATTGCCAGACGTCCCGCCAGTGTGACGCTGTATCAGGTCTCACGTTCTGATGCAGCAGCGGGCCGCGGTCGGCGTGTGGGCAGAGTCCGGGCCAGCCCTGCATGCCAATTTTGTAGCCGCCCGGAATCTTTTATTTTTGGCTTCAATATATACCCGCATTAATGGGTTAATCACTTCAATGGAACTCTAAGGTGTGATCCTTGATTCAGAGCATGTATTTGAATTACACCTCAGGAACATGACACCGGCAGTTTCATCTAAGTTAGGTATCTTTCACAAGTGCAAGAGAGTAATGAGAATGACATTACTTGTAGATATTTATTTTCTTTCATTCTGCAATATTTTGAGTATTGATCTGTGTGGTTACCTGCTGTGAAGTCACCCTTAAGATTGTATGATCGTTCTTTTGATTCCATTAAGTTTTTCCTGTCTGACTTAAATTTGGGCATTGGGCATTATAGGGATATTGGGATCTTTTAGTCTTATAAGAATGTAAATGATAATTCACATCCTCATTGCTATGGCATAAGATATAAGTCAATCACCTACTTCTTAGTTTTTTAGTTGCTTTACTAATGGTATGTTTAGGGTTTGGACTAGATTGCCTTCAGAGAGTGTAACTTCTCTGACTCTTGATAGGTTTAAGAGTTCAGCTAATATGTGTTATGGAGTAGATAATTGTTGATTATTTATCTTTTTATTCTATCTTAGCTTGGGATTTAACCTGCACTGACATCTTTGGTGTAATAATTCTTTATTTTTTTCAGTGTGGCTCTTTATATGGGTTACCTTAATAATGATAATAATAATAATTACAGATATTTTTATGTAAGTTGCTGTAACAATTATTCAGATGTAAGGTGGAATGATGCAGTAATGCACTGATATTGATAAGTAACAACCAAGGACAAAACTTCTGTCACTCCAGGTATATGACCCAGAATAAACAATAGTGAACCAACTGGTTTAATTGATTTCGTACTGCCCATTCTGTGTCATATACAGTGGAGTGGCAGAGGTCCAAGTCCTTGATAGGGGGGTTGATACTTAAAAGTGATTCAAGTTGTTGTCTGGGAGGATAGCTATTCATATATGTATTTGTATAAAAGATGTAACAAACTATTAAATATTGAGAGGTGACAGCATAATACTTAGTGTAACATCTTCTAGAGAGGATTATGAGAGGAGAAAGTATGATATATGCCTGACTACCCAAATCAAACTTTCATACTCACTATATTCCATTCATAACCAGAAAGAGGTGGGAATTTTGACTGCGTGATTGACATAAGGAATAAAAGGGCTTCTGGAGGAAGGGATGCATGGGGATGGTTTGGTGGCAATGGATTGAGGAAACTTTCAAGATTCATTTGTTCCCACTACATACATCTCATTAGCAGAAATAGAAATGTGGGGAACCAATCTTTTACAGCTCATGCAAAATGATAGCATGAGTGTTGAATAGAACATGACATAAAAAGATTCACCAACCTGCATTTGTGTTAAATAGGATGTTAGTGTTGAAACATCACTTAGCAGTATCTATAATTTTTCTTTTTCTGTAAAGAAAGTCAACATGAATATTGTTTTTATATTGCTTTTGTGTTTATTTTATTATTGGCCAGCTTGCACTTTTCATATTTTATTATTATATGACATAAAACTGGAACAAAATGGTATGAATCAAAGAATTTAGGATCACAGACTTTGTGTTACACTAAACTTTCTGTAAAGCAGGACATTAATATAATTGTTTGTATATTTTGTATATATTTCACATACAAATGGTGTTTTTTAAAAATAATATTTGAAAACAAAAACTTTGCTAACAGGACAACCGCACTAATCAAGGACGACCACCACACTTGCCGCAATAGCTTCCTATCTAAACTCTACTACTTGTCCCATGAGACAATCCAGCTCTTCCACGATAAGCTCAGTGCTGGCATCACTATGGAAGAGCTTTTGGATCTGATGACGCAGGTGTGCAAATTTTTGCAAGATATTATTTTTTACTCATTTCTATTCTTTAGAAACTCACTGCAAGGTGAAAATGTCATGTTTTTGTAAAATGTTTGCATTTGTTTATAGAAATCATGATTTAAATTTTTTTTGAAAGATTGCTATACAGAGCACTTTATGAGCTAAGCTGTATAGAAATGGTCTCTAATGAATACTGATCAAGCCTGCATCAGATTGTCACTTTCAATTTTTAATAAATTTATATATTTTTTTTTTCTCCTCTCAGAGCCACAATGAATATAAATGAGTTGCCAGTTCGTCACAAATGAAGGACAACTTAAATGCTGTGTTAGCAAAAACCATGGTCCCATCAAAAAGAAATACACAATATGAATACGCCATTTGCTCGCTCCCAAGGCCCAAAATGTCTAAGCTCCTTACCTTGCTGTAGATTCCATAGACAAAAGTCCCTGTTCTAGATTACAGCAGGCTATAAGGATTTTACAGGTGGTATAAGCAACTTAATATCTGTTATTTGATTACTACTAGAATTAGCTGATGGATTGATCTAGTTTTTTTTCTAGTTTCTTACATATTTATTTAAATCAAGTTTCTTCGCTTCTCATAAAAAATGTACTTGTTTTTGGAAATATCTTCATGAACAGAAAAAGTAACTATCAAGTTACAACTATTATGATTTCTAAGTGAGGGGCTTTTGTACAGCTGGAATGATATACTTAATGGTTGGGTACTTTATGGTACGGATGAGATACAGTTAATAGGGTAATATTATTGGTTGGAAATATAACCGAAAAGATAGATAGGAAAACATTACTTTGCACAGAAAATTGCTTAATCTGAGATGCCTCAATATCCATTTTTCAGTTTTTTTTTTTCTTTCTTTCTTTTTTTTTCCAATTAACCCATTTTAAAGTAGAATGGATAACCTGCAGGCTATGTTGGATATCTGTGGATGTGCAGGCTGGTTGGCTGCTGCACTACAAGTCCAAGTGTTGATGCAGATGGTTACTCAAGCACGCTGGCACATGGACAGCTCCCTTCTGACGCTGCCCAGTGTTACTTCTGACACTTTGTATTGTTTCAAGTGAGTTTTGAGAAGGTTTTAGATTTTATACAAATGTGATTTTTTTTCCTTTTTTTCTTGTGTGTGTCAGTGGGGAAATTGGAGTGTGAGAGAGAGAGAGAGAGAGAGAGAGAGAGAGAGAGAGAGAGAGAGAGAGAGAGAGAGAGAGAGAGAGAGAGAGAGAGAGAGAGAGAGAGAGAGAGAGAGAGAGAGAGAAGAGAGAGAGAGAGAGAGAAGAGAAGAGAGAGAGAGAGCAAGAGAAGAAGAGAGAGAAGAGAGAGAGAGAGAAGCAAGAGAGAGGAGGGAGAGAGAGAGGAAGCAAGAGAGAGGGAGGGAGAGAGAGAGAGCAAGAGAGAGGGAGGGAGAGAGAGAAGGAGAGAGAGAGAGAGAAGCAAGAGAGAAGGGAGAGAGAGAGAAGAGAGAGGGAGGGAGAGAGAGAAGAGAGAGGGAGAGAGAGAGAAGCAAGAGAGAGGGAGGGAGAGAGAGAGAAGCAAGAGAGAGGGAGAGAGAGAGAGCAAGAAGAGAGGGAGGAGAGAGAGAAGCAAGAGAGAGGGAGGGAGAGAGAGAGAGAGAGAGCAGAGAGAGAAGCAAGAGAGAGGGAGGGAGAGAGAGAAGCAAGAGAGGAGGGAGAGAGAGAGAAGAGAGAGGAGAGAGAGAGAAGAGAGAGGAGAGAGAGAGAAGCAAGAGAGAGGGAGGAGAGAGAGAGAAGCAAGAGAGAGGGAGGAGAGAGAAGAAGCAAGAGAGAGGGAGGGAAGAGAGAGAAGCAAGAGAGGGAGGGGAGAGAGAGCAAGAGAGAGGAAGAGAGAGAGGAGAGAGAGAAGGAGAGGGAGGGAGAGAGAGAAGCAGAGAGAGAGGGAGAGAGAAGAGAAGAGAGAGGAGGGAGAGAGAGAAGCAAGAGAGAGGGAGAGGGAGAGAAGAAGAGAGAAGGGAGAGAGAGAAGCAAGAGAGAGGGAGGGAGAGAGAGAGAAGCAAGAGAGAGGGAGGGAGAGAGCAAGAGAGAGAGGGGAGAGCGAGAGAGAGCAAGAGAGAGAGGGGAGAGAGAGAGCAAGAGAGAGGGAGGGAGAGAGAGAAGCAAGAGAGATGAATGAAGGAATGTGAATGAATGAATGAGAGATAGAGAGAGGATAAAGGAGAGCAAGAGAGGGAGAATGAATAAGAGTCTATTACTAGGCCTACCTGACCTCATCTATAAGTAAAAGAAAGCAGTGAAACAAAACCATAGTGGATGTGTGTATATACAAGTACTCTAGGCTACTGTTCAATTGGATTACAGACATGATGGAAGAAGTATTCAGAGTCTGCCAGAGCTTGTGCAAATTGTTAGCGGACGGTATGAAACACTGGCGACAATGCTCCGAGAAGAATTAGACGAGGGACAGATTGAAAATGTCTTTAAGGTCCTAAAACATCTACCATTACTCAATGTCAGTGTGGCTGTACGGGGTTGGTGGGCCAACACAGAGAATCAGTCAGAGGCCAGAGTCAACATCAGGAGCACAGGTTTGTGGAAACTATTTCTGTCGAGTAGTTTATTCTTGTTTTCTTTTATTACTTTGCTGTGTTATTACTGATTGATTGATATTTATTCAGAAATTTATTTACTTTTACCTCTGTGATTTTTTTTAAAGGTTCGTTCATTGGAAAGTGATTTTTAATGAGGTGGAGGATATTGAGTTTTATTCCCTTTGATTCTTATTATTTCCAACCTTCAGATAAAATAATAAGCTTCAATGTCAGTGAGCTTTCAAACGACTAAACATTTTCAGAGGAGAACCGCAAGAACAGCGACTGGGTTGAGGTCCATGCAGATCAGGAATATTCCCTGGCCATCCATCTTCACCGTGTGAACAGGGTTAGTGTGACATTAGTTTAAAGTGGATATGGTTGATCTAGTCTTAGCTTATATTCCCTCCTTTGTGAGAGCAATATTAATTTCTTTGTGTTTGTGTGTGTAGGAGGTTGCATATGTCTGTGTCTATATGAGAGGGAGTGATTGTGTGTGTGTGTGTGTGTGTGTGTGTGTGTGTGTGTGGTGTGTGTGTGTGTGTGTGTGTGTGTGTGTGTGTGTGTGTGTGTGTGAGTGAGTGAGTGAGTGAGTGAGTGAGTGAGTGAGTGAGTGAGTGAGTGAGTGAGTGAGTGAGTAAGAGCATATAATTCCTAAAGTTTTCCCTTTAGGTATCCTATTTTAATCTTCTTTCTCTCAGGGTCAAGACCTTCGCATCCATGCTCCAAAATTCCCAAAGCCAAAAGATGAGGGCTGGTTCTTGGTCCTAGGGGAGGTAGAGTCTGGGGAGTTGCTGGCACTCAAGAGAGTGCCACCTGTCCGTGGCAGAGCCACTCACACCCTCTCCTTCAAGACACCTGATCAACCAGGTGAGTGCAAGTTATGAAAAAGTAAAAGAAAAATCAGGCTTTAGTGTTATTAGCCAATTACCTTCCATTCTTCCTTTAGATTTTGCTTTTCATTGTTTACGTTCTGTTTCAATAGGAGTATCACATGTAGATCTTTTTCATTATAAACAAAACTAGCTCACCACCATCTTTACTCCCCCACAGGACGAGCAGTACTGACACTGTATGTGATGTCAGACAGCTATCTTGGCTTGGATCAGCAGTATGACCTCCCCCTTGAAATCATTCCCGCCAGTCTTGAAGCTCAAGTGAACTCAGAACTAGTGATAAGTGAAGCAGATGAAGAAGTGCTCACCAAATGGCTTCCACCCCCTGCAGACACTCCTGTTTTTAAATAGAATTATTGTCAGATACTAATGGATTGCAAGTTTCCCTACTGTCATAAAAAAAACTATATGGAGCAATTGTTATTCTCTAAGAAGGATGGATGAAATTTAGTGTTCCAGAGTTAGAAGCTGATGTGAAGTTAGATATTGGGATAAAAATGTATAGTAGAGCAGTATTTTTAATTTATTTTTTTATCCATCCTGTATTAAGAAAAATTCTATTGAATATGCTACACTTGAATTTTACATGGATTAAAATATGTTGAATATACTCTGGTAAAATATATGTATAATTATATTAATATAATTATTAATAATGCTTGCAGACACATGTGTTCATGTATACACACAGAAGAAAGTTATTGCAAAATAAGGCATTCCCAAAATGTTCCTGGGTTTTCTCTTCAGATGTGAAGAGGCTGAGGAGAGGAAAGTATTTCAAAGGGTAAGGGAGGACTAACATAGGGCAGGTGAAGTCAGATATACAGACATGAAAACAGGTCGTTTAGTTGTGTGCTAAACAGTTATTCAATTGTCTAGCACCAACTGGGGTCACTGAGGAGTTACAGCCTTTCAAAAGTTGTCTTAAATTCTCTTTGCATGTACAAGTGTAAGTTAGTGAGTGTGGTAAGTGAAAAGGAGGCAGGGAGGGAGTAGAAGTAGGAGAGAGGGTGGGAGTGAAGGAAGGAAAGAAAGAAAAACACAGACACAAAATACACATACAAGAAAAGTTATAACTATGGTATACATGAAATTTGTCATATTGGGGAAAGATTAGAAATATATTTTGAAATCACTTATATTTAGTGGATTGAAACTAGCAGCTGTATAACAATAAACTCCCCTGACTGGTAACAGTAAACAATATTTTATATGAAGTTTGATTTCATTTCCTAATGGTAAATTATGAACTTTTGGAAGCAGAGATAGAAACAGATTTTAATAGTCCATTGATGAAATGACTAAATTCATCAATATTTGTTCATTTACAGGAGAACCATAAGTGCTGAGGGCAAGTCGTTTTTCTAAACCTGATTCGTAAAACAAATGATAAAAATGATACTGATAATAAATGAATAAATGCACAGCACGCATATTACAGATCAAATAATAATAAAACTAGTAAAAGATAACACAGATTCCAAATATCTTGGTTTTGACATTCTCATCCCCCCCCCCCCCCCACAATCCATTGTTGAGGGGTGGCTTAGGAGACGGGGACTGAGAACCAATGCAGGGATCTCCCCTACCTTGGGCCTCAACCCTTGACTCGACTAGCTTTGCATGGTCTTTTCTCTCCAGCTCTTTCGTTTCTGTCCCTTCTCCAACCCATTCTATTATCTACTTCCGTGATGAAAGGATGGAAGGCTGACTGTGCCAGTCCTGAACGGCCTGAGGGAACCGAGGGGACTGTATTCCCGTTTGTTGTTTAGTCCTTACCCCCCCCCCCCCCAAATGTCTTGCCTGTTGTTGTCGTGGGGGGGGGGGGGGTTAGGAGACGGAGACAGACCCAATGCAGGGATCTCCCCAGCCTAGGGCCTCAGCCCTGGACTCAACTAATTTTGCATGGTCTTTTCCCCCTCCAGCTTTTTGTTTCCATCCCTTCTCCAATCCGTTCTACTATCTACTTCATAAGGTATAAATGCCGTGCTGAAAGGACGAAAGGCAGACCTTGTGCCAGTCCTGAACGGCCTGCGGGAACCGTGGGCACGGTACTCCCCTGGTTTAACTGTCAAGCCCTTACCCCCTACAGGGCATTGGGGGGTGGACTGTTTATTTCCCTTTACATAATCAAGGCTTCCCATGGCCAGTAATGAAGATGTCATACCCCTATTACGAGCAATTAGGCTTGCCCATTTATCAAATAGCCCCACCAGACCCCAGGCTCTCCTTTGACCACAACTCCAAACACTGAAACTACTACCCACTCCTCAATGCCTACTAGTGCCTTACCCACCCAAGCAGAGACTCAATCTCCAGAAGACATTCCTACTCTCCCAACTTCCTCATATTCATTAACTCTACCCCCACAACCTTCATCAAGCAACCAATCCTTCCTTATTACTACCCTACAGTTTATTCTCTATCACTTCCTCTTCCACACATCCCTGACTACCACCAACTCTACAGATATCTTAAATACTCTGTTTAGCCCAGCTAATTGCGGCGGCCCCCATAATGTATTTTATAGAGACTGTCCCACTTACAAGTTTGAATTTAAGGTAGCAACTCTCAGATACAAAAATGGTCTCACTTTATTTAAAGCCAGACAGGAAGCACGTCGACAAGGTTTCTTTCATACTCCATACTCTAGTAACATCGCTCGCTCTGCCCCTCCCCTTCCACCCCAAAATGTCCCCACTTCCACTTCTACATTCTACTTCCCCCAGCCCAATTCTTTTGCCACTCTAAATCCAGACACCCCAATCTCAACCACAGCTCCAATCTCAACTACAGCCCCAACACCATCCCCTCTCCCCCGCACTACCCGCAGTAGACAGACTCAACGTTCCACTCCTTCTTCCCCTACTGCACTCACCTCCATCTACCTTTACCTTTATTCCTGAGACACCAGTCTCCTCTTCACCAACTCATAAGACAACTATCCCACAAAACTCTCCAACCAACTTCACTGCAGAAACTATGAGACATTCAAAACTTTCCTCGTGAAGTCGTGGCTGGGGCAGATCGACCAAACCTGTGGTGAAGAACTCAAGATAGGCCGAGTCCCTGCCTGGCGTCTTGCCATGAGGGATCCTCGTAGGTGGAAACGAAGGGTGGATGCGGCTATGCGCCCCCGTCGGCGTTAGCGCTTTGATGATGATGATGGTTGATTTCGGATATTGCCGTTATTATCAACAGTATTAACATGATTTGCATAATCAGCAAATCATTCTCCATTTAATATATTGTACATATCTAAGAAGTCATACCTTATCCATGCTTATTTTTATTTGTAAACATAATGTAAAGAGAGAGAGAGAGAAAGACGCGTTTAAGAAGAATATCAACGCAAAGTGAACATTCTAATAACACGACTAAGCAAGAACAAATTCATTTTCGGGGAAACGGTGCCACCTTGCTGGCCTCTGACTCACAGGTTACTCTGAAAAGGGTCTTCACAGTGCCAGAGCCTCCTTAGCGGCGACTCGGATGGTCTCCCAAGTCTCCTCGCACGTCGGAAGGATCTGTCCAGGAGGGAGAAGGAAGCTGCAGTAGCCCTGGTCCTTCAGCTCAATCGTGTAGACTTAAGGAACCTCTTCCACGCCCACGCCCGAACTCACAGCAGCGCTCTACAATGACTCGAAGTGCCAGGATACGTTCTATTGTGGATTTATCATGAATGAATCCAGATTGCTCCGACCTCCGGTACCTCAGCAGATGGTCTCTGATACGTCTTTGAAGGATGTGGACAAGAACCTTGCCTGGTATACTGAGTAGTGTGATATCTCGGTGATTGCTGGACTAATACCAAACCTGTATCATCATTCATTCAGCATAGCCACGTCCATCCTTTGTTTCCACCTTTTGGGGTCCCTCATGGCAAGCTGCCAGCCAAGGACTCCGCCCATCTCAAGCTCCTCCCGACAGGTTTGATCGATCTGCCCAAGCCACGAACTCCTAGGTCGTCCCACAAGCCTCCTCCACCCACGGTTGTCTCTTGCAGACACAACCTGATGGGCAGGATCATCCTGTGGGAAATGAGCCAGGTGGCTGTATAGCCTGAGTTAACGATCATGCTTTGTGCAGGTAATAGGTCCTGTGCCAGTCTCATGGTTTAACCGTTGGTTGGACATGTGGTCCTGCCAACAGTACCCCATGATCCAGCGCAAGGACCTATTACAGAAGGCATCAAGACGTGACTCCAAGGCACAGGATAATGTCCAGATTTAACTACTGTATAGCAAAACTGGCATTATCAGGGCCTTGAAAACCCGTAGCTTGGCCCTTCTGCACAGGTACCGGCAGCTCCAGAGTTATGAAATACACTACCAAGGTATGTAAAGACTCTTGTCAAGAGTGTTCATGACCCCTCCTGCCAGGCCAATCCGTCTGCTGACTTCCTGGTCTGACAGCCCAGAGTTATGAAATACACTACCAAGGTATGTAAAGCTCTCTGTGAATTCAATGTCCTCGGAGCAAGCATGTAATGAGTGAACAGGTTCTCCTTGCAAGTCCCCAAAGTCCTGGATCTTGGTCTTGGTCCAGGAGACCTCTAGACCCAAGGGCTTTGCTTCATTACTAAATGCATCGAGAGCCACCACTAAGGATTCCAAAGACTCAGATAGAATAGCATCATCAGCAAAGTCAAGATCTGTACCCTTGATATTACCCAGAGTTGCTCCACCATGACTTTAAACAGTAGCTCTGCCCAGTATCCAGTCCATACAAGTATTGAAGAATGTTGGTGCAAGGACACAGCCTTGCCTCACTCCTGAACTAACAGGAAAGAAGCTTGACAGGCCCCCACTACACTTTACAGCACTTTCAGTACCAGTATACAGACTTGCTATTAGTCCAATAATCCTTGTTGGAATTCCTGTCTCAGGATCTTCCAAAGTGATTCCAGGAAACCTCTAGACCCAAGGGCTTCGCTTCATTACTAAATGCATCCAAAGCCACTACTAAGGTTTCCAAAGACTCAGATAGAATAGCATCATCAGCAAAGTCAAGATCTGTACCCTTGATATTGCCCAGAGTTGCTCCACCATGACTTTAAACAGTAGTTCTGCCCAGTATCCAGTCCATGTAAGTATTGAAGAGTGTTGGTGCAAGGACACAGCCTTGCCTCACTCCTGAACAAACAGGGAAGAAGCTTGTCAGGCCCCCACTACACTTTACAGCACTTTCAGTACCAGTATACAGACTTGCTATTAGTCTAATAATCCTTGTTGGAATTCCTCTCAGTCTCAGGATCTTCCAAAGTGATTCCCGATGCACTGTATCGAACACCTTCTTGAGGTCGATGTAGGCTGCAAGCAGCCCACGCCCGAACTCATGACGGCACTCTACAATGACTCAAAGCGCAAGGATACGGTCTCTTGTGGACTTACCAGGAGTGAATCCAGATTGCTCCTGCCTCTGATGCCTCACTAGGTGGTCTCTGATACGTCTCAGAAGGATGTGAGCAAGAAACTTGCCTGGTATATTGAGCAGTGTGATGCTTCGGTGATTGCTGCAGTCCCATTGGTCCCCCTTCCCCTTCCAGAGAGGGATAACCACACCCCTCAACAGGTCAGGGGGAACGGTACCGGACCGCCAGATGGTAGCCAGGACAGAATGCAATCCTCACGACATAGGTTCACCACCAGCCTTTAACAGTTCAGCTAGGATGCCGCAAATACCTGCTGCTTTGCCACTCTTCAGCTTGAAGACCACTCTCCTAACTTCAGTTAGGGAGGGTGGATCCTCACTGATGGATGGGTCCGGCAACGGAATCCCGGCACTACCCGCATCCAAGTTAACTGTTGGTGGATCAACCTGGTACAACTGCTCAAAAAAAAAAAAAAAAAAAAAAAAAAAAAAAAAAAAAAAAAAAAAAAAAAAAAAAAAAAAAAAAAAATATATAATATAATTATATATATATATATATATATATATATATATATATATATATATATATATATATATATATATGCATGCTTGTCTCATTGTGTATCCATTCTACTTGCGTGTATACTCTTAGAAATAAAGAGTAAAAAGCTGAAACCAGAGAGAGAGAGAGATGTGAAACAAACAACCTTGTGCCAGTGGGTTAAGTAAAGATAATAGCAAGGTGATACACCACATACTACACACATCCAACTGGGGACGTACTTTCTCCTGGTGCTACCTTCAACCTGTAACAAATAATTTTGGATTTTTTTTATTATCTTATTATTATCAGCTTTTGATTATTTCAACACTAAGTTCA